AGCAATGACAGAAGAGTAACAGAAGTCCAGGAAGGATAGATTCCTGATGAAGTGATACATAGGTGTATGAAGCTGAGGATCAACATTTATGATTGTGATCATACCACCATTTCCAACCAGTGTGGTGATGTATAATACCAGAAAAATAGTAAAAAACGTTATTACCAACTTCGGTTGGTCTCTGAAACCCATCAGGATGAACTCAGTAACAGTGCTACAATTCTCCATGATACATACCTAAAATAAAAAGACACATAACAAACATGCAATGCTTACAATTTTCTAGAGGTATTAGCAAAAATACATGGACCCAAATTGATACATGAAAAGCACATGAAAAAGAGTTAAATTCAGAATCAATGTGCATTTCTATAAATGCTCATTTTGGCATGGGGGCATTCAATGAGATTGCACCTTAAATTAATTGCCCTTATCTTGTTTACTTAAACATAAATACATATTCATCCTTTTTCCAACATTTATTGTTTGAAGCTATCTCACTTCTTAAATATATGTTATCAAGTTCTCATTTGGCTAGTAAATGAGCCAAATGCTTTTTTAAAAATTATTATTTCATTGCAATGTCTGTTATGCAAATTTTCTTTAAATGCAGTTATATAAACTTAATATCCTTTCCCTGCCCAATTAATGTAATACTAGCTTGTTTTTTTTAAAAAAAAACAAAAACCCAAAACTATATTAAAATATGGTGTTTTATCCAAATTTTAACCATTTGCTTCCTTCTTTTAAAATATTGTATATTTTAAAATATTGTTTATAATAGCTATATTACCATTATCCTTCTCATTTTTTCTCTATCTTCTCCTATTAGTTACATTACATTATTTGTTGTTTGTATGTACACTGAAAGTTTATGCCCCAGAGAAAATTCCTTGCATGTCCAAACACACTTGGCCAATTATTCTATTCTATTCTATTCTATTCTATTCTATTCTATTCTATTCTATTCTATTCTATTCTATTCTATTCTATCCCATCCCATCCCATCCCACCCCACCCCACCCCACCCCACCCCACCCCACTCCACTCCACTCCACTCCACTCCACTTCATTCCACTCTATTTCAATTTAGTTATTATTATTTTTTAAATTACCTTTCTGCACAGGTGCCAAGACAATCCCATTAAATATTGATAAAAACAGTAATTTTTTTTTAAATTTAGGGTACAACAGAGTCCATTGTCAAATGTATGAATACTTTAACAGTTATGAAATTTAGTATCCTAGAATTTTACCATTGAGCACTAAAGGGCTGTCTTTAATCATTTAAGAGTGTCAAATTTTTAGCTCTTTCAATATATTGAATCTTCTCCTTTAGCCTAATATTTCCACCCTTGTAAGCCTCTTTTTTCTTATTCTGGCAATTTGTGTAGAAACACTTAAAACATTTTATTTAACTGGCTATCTATTTTGTCATTTGATGAAGTTGGTCACTCGCTATAATAAAAATACTATATTTATTATTATATTATTATCATTATTATGATTATGAATACAACCGTATTAAGTCACAACTGCCAGTTTACTACAACAACTGCTACTATTATTATTTAAGATTTAATCTTCAGTTTGATTTTACCAGTCAGACTGGTAAAAACTTAACATTTCAAGATTTAACTAAGAGCTGTTAATGTCTGAGTATATAGGTAGTTCTAAGGTGGTTTTTTGCTAAATCAGAATATTCAGGTCTAATAAGTTCAAATTTTCCATGTATCTAGGCAACCCTTTGGGTATTGCTCCAAGGGCTCCTATTACTTTTGGTACAACCATTGTTTTCCTCCTCCTCCTCCTCCTCCCCCCTCCTCCTCCTCCTCCTCCTCCTCCTCCTCCTCCTCCTCCTCCTCCTCCTCCTCCTCCTCTTCTTCTTCTTCTTCTTCTTCTTCTTCTTCTTCTTCTTCTTCTTCTTCTTCTTCTTCTTCTTCTTCTTCTTCTTCTTCTTCTTCTTTATTATTAGCATCAGCATCATCATAGATTTTGAACTTCAAAAGAAGATATTAAATTATAAAGGTTCATTTAGACATATATGTACCATAAATTGTTGAAAGAAGTATTTTTTAAGTACTTAAAATATCACTATTCTTAAATCACCTTAAATCAACTTTACTGCTGTTATTTTTTTTTTAGATCAATTTCCCTATTATTATTTTTTCATTATATTTAGGGCAATTTTGCTCTCTCATACTATAAAGAAGAAAAGCTTTGCTTGTCATTGGAAATGAATAGGATTCCAGTACAGCATATAAACCAGTAGGCCAGATACTTATATGGTGCTCTTTTTGGCAGCACATATGCTTCAATTGGAACAACACAGAGAAGGTTGTGCTTAGGTAGAGCTATAAAAATGAGATTAATTTACCACAACATGTGGATAAGGCAAACAGCAAATCCAGCCCTATCATACATTTAGCAAGGGTTTATGATAGAAATATTCTATAGCAGGGGAAAAGTTTATTCTCCATGGTATTATTACATTCATTGTCCACCAACTATTAAAAAAATATTTGTAGTGCATGATGTGGAACTTCAGATGGGTATGTCTAGCTGCTATCATAATTTTGAAAATATGTCCAATATCTTTTTATAAGCATTAAAGAAAATGTAAATTTTTGTCTCTTTTGGTTAAGTCTACTAAATTCCAGAAGAAAAGAGGCATTAGAAAGCAAATATTACAGTTGCTATGGATATATCACTGGAAGACCTGAAGAGTCAAACTGGGAATTGATAACCTTTAAAAAAAAAGTCAGCATTGACTTGAAAGCAGTGAGTCAATTAGTCAGTGAATGGGTCAGTGAGTCCATCAATTAATCTGGATCCATTACAGGAAGCTTTCAAAAAGAGACTGGATAGCCATTTGTTCGAAATGGTATAGACTTTTCTACTTGAGCAAGGGATTGGACTAGAAGACTTCCAAGGTCTCTTCCAACTTTATTATTCTATGTTATATGTTATTCCAAAACATCCGAAAACACCAATATTTCTTTCTTAGTCTGACCTGTAGCAAACCCTTTTGAAAATAAATTTAAAAGTTTTATTCTCAGAGGAACAATAATCCATTGAAAATAAAAGCTACAAGTACTCATATTTTAGACCAATTGTATGAAAATCTAGCTCTCTTGAAAAGTCTATAATGTTGAGAGTGGAAAGAGAAGAGAACACTCAGCACAAAGTGAGTAGTCTCAATTACAGTGGCAATGGATATATCATTATGAGACCCGAAGGTAAAAGTTGGAGATAGATAATCTTAGAGAATGTCTACTTGGGTTGCAGAAGGTCAGCACTGACTTGGTGACACAAATCAATCAATCAATCAATCAATCAATCAATCAATCAATCAATCAATGCCTTGCTAAGTTTCAGAGATTTCATCTCAAAACATGTTGGACTTATTTCACTCAACTTTTACAGCAATATCAAGAATAGTCACAGCAGTATGATTATTTTCTGATTATTTTCTGATTATTTTTTAAAAAGCATTTAAAAAACCCCCAAGGTTGTAAATCCCATGCCTTAATATAATCATTATTAATTCTGCTGCTACAAAACTGCTGATTCTGTGGGTGATTTTCTTGATGGTGAAGCTTTTAGAGCCGTGGTGGTGCAGTGGTTAGAATGCAGTATTGCAGGCTAATTCTGCTGACTGATGACAGCCAGCACCAGTTCAAGGTTGACTCAGCCTTCCATCCTTCTGAGGTCAGTAAAATAAGGACCCAGATTGTTGGGGGCAATATGCTGACTTGGTAAACTGTTTAGAGAGGACTATACAGCACTGTGAAGTGATATAGAAGTCTAAGTGCTATTGCTATTGCTATTGTTATTTTAGCTTCTTTCTGTAACAAAAATCTAGTTTGTTTGGTCCTCCCAAAACTTTTCATTTTCCCTGTCAGCAAATGAAATTCTAGCTGGGAAGAATTTACAGGAAAAAAGCTTAGTTCTTTTTCACTTTTACTTCATTCTTATTTACAATAGTCCTTTTATTTGTTTGTTTCTTTAATCCATTCCTTTCTCTCTTTTTTTCTTTTAATCTTCCTATCCAGATGATTAGTCAGGCTAATCTTCTGATTTTTTTTCTTCCCCTTCCCAGAATATGTCTCTCTTATACTCCAGTGCTTTCTATACCTTTCCATTCAGTAGGCATTTGTTTTATTTATTTATTAAATAAATGTATATGGCTTTCCAACACAATGACTTGGAGAAGTTTAGAAAATTAAAAATTCATAATACAGAAGCCCATAAATTCCCCACTCCTATGGTGGCAAAATGTGCACTCAAGCCAACCACTTGATCAATTCTGCGGCAACCTGGAATGAGTGTAATTGGTATAAAACTCAAATTTGTGCAAAGGCCCGCCTGGCCATGACTGCCAATTGTTCCTTAAGCAGGAGTTGTGAATCCAGGAGAATCACCAGATCACACACCAGACAATTCTGGGGCAGTATGATCCCATCCATGACCAAATATAACAATTCTTTAAGAACCAAAGAGTCCCTAATCCAGAGCTACTCCATCTTGGAGTAGCTCTGGTTCAGTTTCATCATATTTCTCCCCATTCAGACCCCAGCAACCTCCAGGTACAAAGAAAGGGAAGATATAGCATCACTTAAATCACCATGATTAGAGAAACACAACCAAGCATACTAATAATATTTCATTCAGCAGTAACAAATGTAGCTTCATGTTAAACAGAAGTATAGAAAGCATTGAACCCCGAAGAAGTATGCAAAGCATGGATTTCAGGTCAGACTTCTCACTCCCAATCCACACCAACTGAAAACAACCTTGGAAGTCTACCAGACTTACTTCTTTTGAATGAAACTCAGAATTAACTTTTATTAAAAACATGTTTGAGGTGTATGTGTGTGCCTATGTAATAATAATTTCAGAAAATTCAGCATCTAATAAATGAAATGGTGTCATACATATATAAACATAAACTTCAATAGCAATTCAAATGTCAGTAGTTAACAAAGATACATTAGAAGCTAGGTATCAATTTTCCTTAATTGTCGGGTCAGAGCTTCTTTAACCTCTCTGTTTCTTAAGCTGTAGATTATGGGGTTCAACATTGGGATGACAACTGTATAAAATAGTGATACAACTTTTCCTTGATTGGGAGAAGACAAAGCCCCAGGTTGTGCATACATAAAAAAAACTGTACCAAAAAATAAGCTGACTGCCATCAAATGGGAGGTACAAGTTGAGAAAGCTTTTTGTTTTCCTTTGACAGATGGTATATTTATTATAGTACTAATAATATAAACATAGGATACTAGGACTACTATAGCTGTGGTCACAATGATAAAGCCACACACTGAAAGGAGCACAAGTTCATTCACAAAAGTAACCGAGCAGGAGATCTTCATGACAGCTGGGACATCACAAAAGAAGTGGTCAATTACAAGTGAGTCACAAAATGATAGAGTGAATGTAAAACCAGTCTGGATGCAGCAGTTGATACAGCCAAAAAAGTAAGAGATGGATAGAAGGCAAGCACACCTTTTCTTTGACATGATGATATGATACAGCAATGGATTACATATGGCAGTGAATCGGTCATATGCCATTACAGCCAAGAAAAAGGCCTCTGTGGTTCCAAACAAAGAAAAGAAGAACATCTGAGTTGCACAACCACTGTAGGAAATGGTCTTATTTCCAGTTATAAAACTCAACATAGCTTTTGGAGTGATGACTGAAGAGTAGCAAATATCCAAAAAAGACAGGTTTTTCAGGAAGAAATACATAGGGCTATGAAGTTGGGCATCAACAGTTGTAATTATGATCAGGCCCATGTTCCCCACTAGGGTGATGATGTATATTACCAAAAAGAGAAAGAAGAGAGATATGTGCACCTTTGGTTGATCCTTAAAGCCAATTAATATAAATTCTGTCACTACAGTATGATTTTCCATCACTTATTTATGGCTAGAGGATATGTCAGGATAAATAGTCATTTACCAATATTTTTTGTGAAAGTTAGAAATTAGTGTTTGAGTAGAAATTGCCTTTGTACCACACGTGAAAATCTGAAGAGGTCATTATTAGCATGCATGTGAAATAAAAGCTGTTTGTGAAATTCTGCAAGCAGAAAAAGATACATATTAATTAATACTAATGTTACTTTCATTATAGAGCATAATGCATATGAATCTGAAACTGATAACAGAAGAGATCCATCAATCAGGAGCATATCCCATTAATGTTTTGGTGATATCCAAGTCATTCAAAGTCTTCTGGAGCTGAACAGTATAGAAACCTGATAAAGATATGGAACAAGAATGGATATAAATCAATCTGAAATTAAACTTGAAATTAAATGTGCTATATAGATAATGGATTTCTTTGTCAAATACTAAAAAAAAATGCTTCCAATATGGGGAAGATATATATATACAGTCAGGTCCAGAAATATTGGGACATCGACACAATTCTAGCATCTTTGGCTCTATACACCATCACAATGGAGTTGGAATGAAACAAACACAATGTGTGTTAACTGCAGACTGTCAGCTTTAATTTGAGGGTATTTACATCCAACTCAGGTGAACGGTGTAGGACTTACAGCAGTTTGTATATGTGCCTCCCACTTATTAAGGGACCAAAAGTAATGGGACAATTGGCTTTTCAGCTGTTCCATGGCCAGATGTGTGATATTCCCTCATTACCCCAATTACAATGTGCAGATAAAAGGCCCAGAGTTCATTTCAAGTGTGCTATTTACATTTGGAATCTGTTGCTGTCAACTCTCAAGATGAGATCCAAAGAGCTGTCACTATCAGTGAAGCAAGCCATCATTAGGCTGAAGTAACAAAACAAACACATCAGAGAGATAGCAAGAACATTAGGCGTGGCCAAAACAACTGTTTGAAACATTCTCAAAAAGAAGGAATGCACCGGTGAGCTGAGCAACACCAAAAGACCTGGGAGACCACGGAAAACAAGTGTGGTGGATGACCGAAGAATTCTTTCCCTGGTGAAGAAAACACCCTTCACAACAGTTGGCCAGATCAAGAACACTCTCCAGGAGGTAGGTGTAAGTGTGTCAAAGTCAACAATCAAGAGAAGACTTCACCAGAATGAATACAGAGGGTTCACCACAAGATGTAAACCATTGGTGAGCCTCAAAAACAGGAAGGCAGATTAGAGTTTGCCAAACAACATCTAACAAAGCCTTCACAGTTCTGGAACAAGATCCTATGGACAGATGAGACTAAGATCAACTTGTACCAGAGTGATGTGAAGAGAATAGTATGGAGAAGGAAAGGAATTGTTCATGATCCTAAGCATACCACCTCATCAGTGAAGCATGGTGGTGATAGTGTCATGGCGTGGGCATGTACGGCTGCCAATGGAACTGGTTCTCTTGTATTTATTGATGATGTGACTGCTGACAAAGGCAGCAGGATGAATTCTGAAGTATTTCGGGCAATATTATCTGTTCACATTCAGCCAAATGCTGCAGAACTCATTGGACGGCGCTTCACAGTGCAGATGGACAATGACCCAAAGCATACTGCAAAAGCAACTAAAGAGTTTTTGAAAGGACAGAAGTGGAATGTTATGCATTGGCCAAGTCAATCACCTGACCTGAATCCCATTGAGCATGCATTTCACTTGCTGAAGACAAAACTGAAGGGAAAATGCCCCAAGAACAAGCAGGAACTGAAGACAGTTGCAGTAGAGGCCTGGCAGAGCATCACCAGGGATGAAACCAGCGTCTGGTGATGTCTATGCGTTCCAGACTTCAGGCTGTGATTGACTGCAAAGGATTTGCAATCAAGTATTAAGAAGGGAAAGTTTGATTTATGATTATTATTCTGTCCCATTACTTTTGGTCCCTTAACAAGTGGGAGGCATATATAAAAAACTGCTGTAAGTCCTACACCATTCACCTGAGTTGGATGTACATACCCTCAAATTAAAGCTGACAGTCTGCAGTTAACGCACATTGTGTTTGTTTCATTCCAACTCCATTGTGGTGGTGTATAGAGCCAAAGATGTTAGAATTGTGTCGATGTCCCAATATTTCTGGACCTGACTGTATATATATGTATGTATGTATGTATGTATGTATGTATGTATGTATGTATGTATGTATTAGAATTTCTTAGAAAGCAAAAATATAACTGTGACAATGTTAGAAATTTTAAATAAAAATGGGAAAATGATATAATCAAGTGATCAGAGCTGTATTATTAGGATGGTCATCACAAATGACTACACCAGAGAATTAGAAAGGACATATAGTATTTAAAAGTAAATAAATTTATTTTGTACTATGTTGACGTTCAAAACTTTAAAAATATTAAAGGTATCATCACAGGTTATAAACTGTTTCAGGTAAAACTTGTCTTTTCTTTGGAACAGCTAACCTCCTGAAATAATACCTTTAACACCATCAAACAATAACTTCTATCAATCCCAAATCCTTAGGAAGGACACGGTAAATGGATAAAAATGCTAAATTCAATCTAAACATCTGCCTGATTGTTTGACCAACTATAACTCAATTTCAAAAAGCTATGTTGCTGAATTACAAAAAGCTACTTTGCTTGAATCAGAATAGGATAGGATAGGATAGGATAGCATAGGATAGAATAGAATAGAATAGAATAGAATAGAATAGAATAGAATAGAATAGAATAGAATAGAATTTTTTATTAGTCAAGTGTGATTGGACACACAAGGAATTTGTCTTGGTGCATATGCTCTCGATGTACATAAAGGAAAAGATACATTCATCAAGAATCATAAGGTACAACACTTAATGATAGTCATAGGGTACAAATAAGCAATCAAATCATATTAGGAAACAGTCAATATAAATCATAAGGATACAAGCAAGAAAGATACATAGATACATTACGATATCTTAGTTTTTTGGGAAGAATTTGTTATGAATGAAATCCAACTGTAGCTAAAGAACTAGAAGCTGTGATTTCACATAGTTGTAAATATAATAATAATAACAGTATAGATAAGAGTTCTATACTCTATTATAGACATTTATATCCCACATATTACCATGAACTGGAACATTTCCTACTCTCTGGCTACAGAACATAAATTCCAGTTTCTAGTGACAGCAACAAATCTTGTTTGTCAGAATGTAGAGACTGATGCAATTTCTTATGGACACCTTCCTTGCAGCAGTGGGTTTCCAATATTCTTACTACCGAGTTGCCACGTACATGCTCACTTCACACATGTGCGTGCCTTCCATGCATGCTGCTGGCCTTCTGCACATGTGCTTTGCTCCCTCGCACACCTTCCGCGCATAGGCCCGGCCTTGAAACCACTGGTACGGGTGGGCAGGCCCACCCGCGATCTCTGCTACCGGTTTGCCTAAATGGTACGAACCAGCTGAATCCCACCTCTCCTTCCTTCCTTCCTTCCTTCCTTCCTTCCTTCCTTCCTTCCTTCCTTCCTTCCTTCCTTCCTCACTCCTACTATCAATGCAGCTGATAGTAAGAAATGGTGCAAAAAATGAAATTAGTATTAGCTATTGTTATTCAAGGTCACTGATATGTGTGAGCAATGAGAAATATCATGTGTATGTAGTAGTAAAACACTCGAACATTGCTGTTATTTGCTTGTTTAATAAACCACACACAAAACCACATCTACCCTATATCATTTCTTTATTACTCTGTATGCCACACTGTTGTAATGCTTTTAGCCTTACAAGTTGTTAGCTTCATGGTTAATTTTAGTCCGTTTCATGGTAACTACTTCAGCAGAAGTTTGAAAAACTGCAATCTAAACATTTAGTCATTAAGTCATAGTCATCAAAACTGGGAAACTAGCAGAAAGAAATGCACACAATTGCCATCCTAATATTTTCTTTTGCTGCTAATTTAGTTAAAAAGGAGTCAACTCCCAAACTGTCTGTTATTGTAGAGAAAACCAATCTCATTATATCATTGCTGGATTTGTTCTTGTTGTTGCTGCTGCTGCTTATTTTCAGTAACTGTTGATTTTAATTTTGCTAATTATTTTACTCCTGTGCTGAATTTCTGCTAAGCTTATTGATTTTATTTTTAATTTATTGAAATGGTCTTTCCTGTTTTTTACATTTTGATTGTAAAACATTTGAGTTACAATGTAAACAGCATGGATTAAACTCAATAAATACATTAATTTCAAGGTCAAAGTCCTGCATCTCAAATGAGAAACTTTTGAAATGCCATGAAATGAAAAAGCTTTTTACGCACATGGATACTGAATTACTGAACTAACTGAACTCATCTTGAAACTCATGTCACTTCCTTAAGAGAAAATTTCAGCTTCAGTATTTTTACTCACCTCTGGAAATAGAACAAACTTGCAATGTTGTTTTTCTGTTTAACATGATTTCTTCACCAGTCTATGAAGCAAATGCACTCTGCAAATCTTTTTTTCTTTTCTTTTCTGGGTTCAAATATAACACATTTATGAACAATCACATTACACCTGAGGCCCAATATTAAACATATGATCTCTTGAGTATAATCTACTTATAAATTATACAAATCTAAATGGAGATTATTTGTTGACTAATCCTAATGGCTGCTTCATGTATATACTTCACAAAATTTTAAATATGGCTTCTGTTTTTAACTTTCAAAACCTAGCACTCTTAATAATGGACTCACAAAAAAAGTACTGATTTCTTTCTTCCAAAGTGTTTCCTGGAGTGTCCATGCTATTATATTCAAACAACAAAATCCCATTCTTTCCAGTAGAGTAATTGGAAAAATCCTTTTGAATTCATGACTAGTATTACTTTAAATAGGTTACTGAATTTGGACCCAACTTCTTATTGTTTTCATTTTTGTTATTTATAATTACTGTTATTAATTTTTTTTATGTTTCACACAAGTATGTTGCAAAAGCACCTTGGTTAAAATATAAAATAAGTTTTTATTTTATTAAGCATCACTACATTTCAATCTAGCCATAATAGTCTACAACAGGGATGTCAAACTCAAGGC